TTAAGATGCTAGACATGAAGAATCTTCTCTATTGCCATCTGGTGGCTGGCTGCAGTTTAGGTCATAAACTCCGCCTCCTCCATGTTAGCATATTGGACATGGACCAAACTAAGAAGTCAAAGTACATGTCAAAGATACCTGATATTTTAGGTAGTTCTTACCACACTGATGTTTGCCTATTTTTCAGGTAATTTTGGTTTTCATTAGGGACTTGACAGATCAAATATTTACATGATGTAGTTTGATTTTTAACAAGTTTTTCATTTTTCTCACACAGCACGGGAGCAACATCATCCACCGTGACCTGAAGGCAGAGAACGTCTTCTACACCAGCAGCTCGTGTGTCAAGGTGGGGGACTTTGGCTTTAGCACATTGAGCCGCCGGGATGAGACACTAAACACGTTCTGCGGCTCTCCGCCTTACGCTGCGCCAGAGCTCTTTCGAGATGAGCATTACGTTGGCATCTTTGTAGACATCTGGGCCCTCGGTGTGATGCTGTTCTTTATGATGACGGGCACCATGCCATTCAGGGCGGAGACGGTAGCCAAACTGAAGCGCTGCATCCTGGAGGGGGCCTACATCCTGCCCTCCTGGGTGTCAGAGCCGTGCCAGAGGCTGATCAGAGGGATCCTTCAACCCGTACCATCTGACCGCTGCACGGTGGAGCAGATGATCGGCTGTGAGTGGCTCCTCCCTGTGGACTTCCCACAGTCCATGGAGCCCTTTAAACTGGACCCGTCCTACCTTGCAGAGAGTGATCCACCTGAACTGGGGGAGGAGGAGATGGAGGTAAAGGCAGCGCTGGAGACACTGGGAATCACCTCAGAACACATTCTCAACAACCAGGGGAAGGACTGCAGGAGCTCCATCACCGGGGTCTACAGGATCCTGCTGCACCGTGCTCACAAGAGACGGGCTGTTCAGAGCGTGCCTGTAGCCACCAAGGTTCCAGGAACAACTACAACGAGTAAAAAGGAGCGATTAAAAGTGTACCGTAATTTACGGCACACGTCAAAACTCTGCGTGGTTCTGTGACGAAATGCTCTGCTCCACCCTGGAAACTCATTGACATAATGCCTCGTTTCCACAGTTTTGTTGCGTGTCCATAATTCCGTTTCATATATGGACCCCGGCCCCTAGTGTTCACTGCGCAGAATGTATTTCTTGGCGGTAATGGTTGCCACTGAAGTCATGGTTGGGGGTTTTTCACAACCTTTTGTGAAATATGTAATTGAATTGAATGAAATAGCCGTAGCTAATTGTTTTTATGCTAACAAAACTTTGTCCAAAATCTACCACAAAACGTACATGGAGGCTAATTCAGGACTGAAGAATACAGCTTCACAATACTTCAAGATCACAGAGGTTGCTATAGGAATGAATACACTTCAGGTTGAAGTGGATATGGACACTGAGCTATGTGGAAATGAGGCATTATAGCCTTGGTTGAGCCTGCATGGACTTTATTAGAAATAAAAAGTGCTTTTCAGTCCAGCATTATAAGGTACATTGAAATATCACGGTATATAACCCCACTCTGCTCCTGAAATCTGGGATTTCTTACTTTAGTATCTCTCTTATAGTCAGTAAAATTAGTCTCTGTGAGAATGCTGCCACCATTGAATTATTACTGTCTCCTTCTTTGACAAGGACCTATTCCTCATGAGATTTGGAAATATTATGAAATATGATTTAAGGAAACATAATATGGATTAGATGGCATACATAACTTTTATTTAGGTCCTGCAGGTCAGATAGTCGTTGCCCACATTCTATGCTTAGTGCTTTAACACCATTAAACCCAATGAGAACTCAATGTAGCATGAATCTATAAGAAAAGATTCCGAAATTCACATCCTGCTGAGGCGTTAAAGTGGTGAAGCATGTCAGCACAGGAAATAGGTTTTTATTGTTGACTTGCACTTTTCTTCCAATGCCTTAGTTTTCTATGAGACAGACTGGTTTCATTGAAATCCTTAAAAAAACATTTTGTGGCTTGAAAAAGTCAAGACATGACATGAAGCTAAAAATATAAACCAACAAACTAAAGTTGTTTGTTGGCAGAATAAAATTCATTTTCAGTTTTGAATCAGACTATGTGTCAGTGTGTGTTTCAGTTGTATGTTTTTTTTAATCATTTGATGCCATCTCCATGCTCATGTGTTGATTAAAATCTGTTTAAAATTTTAGTGCATCGTATTTATTTTCTCTTTTTGTATCTAACACACACACACACACACATTCACTTGGGAGATACCGATATTTGACACCTGTTACAGCTGTATGTGTTCCTGTACCATGTCTTCTCATTCTCCTCTAGCTCCACACTGATTAACCGATCAGTCATCAATGAGGTGCACCTGGCCAGTGGATTAAGGTTTTTAAAAACTCCTGTGTCAGGATCAGAAGCGAGGCTTCCAGTGTGGGGACTGCTGCTTCTGCTGAGCCTCAGCCTGGGGTTTTAACCTTGTGTGTATTGTGTCTGTTAAAGGCTTTCTGTTGTTGATTCGTGTCAGTGGTGTTCAGTTATCTCACATGTTGTTCGCCGCTGGGGCCACATAATGGTGGGATGTAACACACCTGAAGTTCAACCTGCAGTCAGGGACACAGAAATGAAACTGTTTCAAATCATCCACATGTGACTGACAGATTACTGATAATTGTACTTTAAGAAGAACTGATCAAATTGAAGAGGGGGGAGGACCCCTACATTCTCCCCACCATGTTGACATTTTTAATAAACAAATTTCACATACCAAAGCAAGGACATATAGATATAGATTCCAGCAGACCTTGGACATAGATAATAACTAAATTATTATTATTATTATAAGATGATATAATATAACTCCTATAAATACTGTATATCCATGCCAGGGCAGAAAGCTCTGCACTACATTTCCCAGAAGCCTCTTGAGAAGTTCACGTACTGATATCCGGCTGTACGCGATGACGCATTTTTTGCCTCGTTGGAAGGTGGTTTTGCAGGAAGCGCAGTGACAGCAGCTGAGCAGAGGAAAGCTCAGACACACGGACTCAAGTCAGTCGATGGTATTCAGTCTCCTGTCAGTGAACGGTAAGAGAGTTCTTTCACTCAACATAGACTGTGTTTGATGCTGTTTCTAATGTGTTGTAATGTGACGGCCTCTCTAAACACAGACCCTCACAGGGTGTGAAGACGCTGTGGCCTAACACGCCTCCTCATGTCTGTGAACTAAATGATGTCTTTGTTTTTATTTTTACATTTGTTACGTGAGATGATGATTTATATCCTCTGGAGGAGTGGCTGTTACTACCAGGTCATTTCATGTGTGTGTCAAAGTGGCCATGCTGCAGGACAAATGTCTTCCTGCGGGACAATAGAGACGCAAAGACACCGAGCTGCTTCCGTGCGTTTGCACGTTTTTCTGTTTCTACGATGCAACGTGAAAACAGGTCGTTTCCTGCTGTCAACCAAAGATCCGCCGCGTTATTTGTTTTGACTTTTAATGTTGCATTCGTGACAAAGACGTGGGGGCGGGGTCCACTATGAGATGATGTCATGATGGCCGCGTGGCGATGATGCAACGTGAAGGTGTTTACATGGCACTTTGGTCGACGTGTTATTAAACCTCTGACAGGGAAGTGTCCTCTGCCACACTTAAGATATCATGGAGGCAAAGTCTTTGAACGCCTCATAGTCCAAACACCACCCACCTCTGGTCCACATGTACCTGCAGGCTATAGCTTTATAAATACCTTTCTATATTTACATTATATTCTATACTATTTAAAGACATCTTTTAAAAGTTGTACTTACAATATACTATGTTGTTAGTTTACTATGGTGAATTTATATCCATTTATCAGATTTTGTACTGTTCTTTTTGTAGACCGTATCTGCCTATGTTTGTATAAACAGTTTAATCTGCACAGGTATCGATAAATATACTTCAACATCTCTTTATACTATAGTGCAATCATCCTGTGCCACACAGCACTTACTGCATTTCTATACATACAATATTCCTGTTGTTAGAGATAATAATGTATATAGTCTTTTTTTATTCTACTGCCCTTCTTATTTTCACTCTCTTGTTTACGTCATACTGACTCATCTGCTGATGTAACAAGAGAATTTCCCCATTGTTGGATCAATAATGTTTCATCATTTTTTGACTTGACTTTATCTAAAATAGGTTTTATATCATTTCAGGTATATATTGCTTTGATTTTTAAACAATATTTAGGCACAGCTCAGGTTCATAATAGGAACTCACATGTCACATGATAGTCATGGAGTAATTCATTTTTACTTTCATTTCAGTCAGTATGGCCTTGTTGATTTTGCATCCTTTAACAGTTGGGCTGTAACTTACGATTCTTTTCCAGTCAAAGAATAAAAAAAAACAATAAAAAAACAACATAAAACAAAATATATATAACATGAATTAGAATAAAATATTGAATAGATGATCTCTAATGTTGAACTTAATGGAAATGCTGGTCTGTGTACTGCAGATGTCAGTCACTGAGGATCTTCCAGACATGGATGGAACAGACCTGCTGGGTCTGCTGTTCCAAGATGGAGAGGACGGATCTACTGAGCCCTTCTTTCCTGATGGGAACGGGCTCATCGAATCCTGGCTGTTTGAACAAGATGTAAGAAAACGTTGTCAGAAACGTTAACTGGATGTTACTGTAATATTGAAAGTTGATCATTGAGCTCACGTGTTGTGTGTTTCAGATTTAAATACTGTTTTTGTCCCTCAGATGCTGACTGGTATGGACACTGAAGATTTCCTGTCCAGCTTGTTAGAGGAAGAAGCCAACATGGGGACCATCTGTCCCTCTCATTCTCCCCTGGGCAGCGACAGCGGCATTTCTGATGACAGCAGCACTGGAGTTGGAAACACCAATCTTCTGGGATGCCCGAGTCCTCATGGCAGCGATAGTGATGTTGTGCCCAGTCCAAGTTACTCACAGCCCAGTCCAGTGCCCTCGGACCCTGCCCTGGTCCCTGGGGAGCAGCGCACGGAGAGCCTGGAGGCCCTAACAGTCCAGACAGATCACTGCTACTCTCTGCTGCAGAGCGAAGGGAAGGACATGGATGTCCTGCAGAGTGTGAGGGCAGAGAGGCCAGATACAGATGTCTTCATTGATCTGGGTATGTCGTCCAAAAACGATTGAAAAACTAGTATGTGGGCATACTGTAATATTTTTTTATCTCATTAATATAAATCCCGTCAGAAAACCTGGATTTAGGATTTTGAGATTTTGAGGGGTTGCCTTTATAAATGGACACAAAAAGATGAAAATTCATTTTAAATGTTCTTCCTTCTGGCAGACGACCTGGTGACTGAGGAAATGGAGGAGGACATCACCAGCGAGCTGCCCTGCACTTTGTCCATTGAGGACTCAACAGAGGATTCCATGCTCCTCAACACAGACGAGGTCAGTTTCTCTCACTATTTAAGCAGGATTAAATATAATATTTGACCAAAGACCTAAAGAAAGTAACATTATGCAACTTTCTTTTTACATTTTTACAGTAGCTTCAAAGTCATTTTAAAGAAGAATAGTATCACTTGGATTCCCCAACCACCCGTAACTTTGAAGACCTAGTACAATCTCTGAAGAGGTGTTTAATTTACTATCTTAAATTGCCAGGATCAGGTTCATCCAGTTCAAGAGTAATATTGAACTGTAGATCAGTTTAAAAGATGTAGAACTTTTTAAAATCCAGCATTTATCTCTGAAATATCTAACTTAAAATATCAAGAATTCTGAACAGAGTTTGGTGTATTTGTTGTGTTGTTCCTTCCTACATGAGAACCACTTTACTTTACACAGAACTATTCACAATGTGTGGCAGCAGAGGGCGCCATTGCTTAGAAAAAGTTGCACAGCCTTGCCTCTGTGTGCCTGTTTGTTTATACATATGAGTGTTTTGTACTTTCATGTAGTATTTTCCTGATTTTTGATGCCTATGAATTACTTTTGCTCTTTTTTTGCAAACTGTGGTTTTCTCCCTTCAGTTTCAGTTCAAAGACATTGTTCTCACTGAGGAGGAGAAGCGGCTTTTGGCAAAAGAGGGAGCCACCCTCCCCTCACACATGCCTCTCACAAAGGTAATTGATGCACTTCACATCTTTTTTTGCTGTAAATGTAAATCTATCAATGACCCTTTCTGTTGATAAACAAACATTATTGTTCCCTTGTATAGTTTGACCATATCTTTCTGTGGCTTAGCTTCTAAAGGTTTATATACACACGTTGTCATCTGTCATGTCAACATCGTGCTGAGAGCCTCCTCATCTCTGTGTAACAGGCAGAGGAGAGGACCTTAAAGAGGGTCAGGAGGAAGATCCGCAACAAGCAGTCTGCTCAGGAAAGCCGCAAGAAGAAGAAGGTGTATGTCGATGGACTGGAAAACAGGTGAGATGAGGTTTTCAGTAATATTTAAATGGAAGAATTTAAATTAGAAGCCTGCCTTGTTCCTTCTGACTAGTTGATGACAGCATAGGTAAAATATAAAAGGATAAAATAAAGGACAGAAATCCTGATTGCTGAATATGTGTGTCCTGCAGGGTTGCCATCTGTACGGCACACAACTTGGAATTACAGAAGAAAGTCCAAATGCTCCACAAACAGAACATGTAAGAACCGACTGAATTAATTCTTCTGTATTAATCTGTAATAATAAAAATCGAGTGTTTCTGTTGACAGCTGTGATAGTAGATGTGTCTTGGTTCTTACAGCTCTTTGATAGAGCAACTGAGGAAACTGCAGTCCATCGTGAAGATGTCCACTATGAAGGCCAGCACTACCAGCACTTGTGTCATGGTAAATTTGTGGACAGTATTAATGTCTTTCTTGTCACTTGGTTTTTATTGTTCTCAGAGTAAATGTGTATTTCTGTGTAATGCTGCAGTATTTCCTTCTCACTTCCTTGTATGGTTTGCCTTCCAGGTGTTCCTGCTCTCTTTCTGTCTCATCATCTTTCCGTCAGTCAATCCGTTTGGTGGAAACACAGAAAAAAAGGAGATGTACACACCCTCATCCAGTAAGATACATCAGAATAAAGAACTGTTTGTTGTAATTCCACCTCTCTTGCCGTGACTTTTCAATACCAAGAACCTGTGTATACGGCAGATTGATCTTTATCAATGGTGGTATGTAGATGTGGTGTGGTTTTATCTCATGTGTAACCCAGATTTCATGAATGTAATTTTTGGCTCTATCATTTCTCATCCGTTATTGCAGTCATCTCCCGGACCTTGCGCTCCGTGCCACAAGAAAGCACAGATGCCATCTACTACATGGAGCATGAAGAGGAAGAGTTTCCCTTCGCTCCCCAGGTTGAGGTGGACAAGAGCAAAGCCATCTTCGGCATGAGTCAGAAGAACCACACCCCTGACTACCAAAGGGTGGAGCAACCCGACTCGGAAACTGGCGTCAACAGCAACTCCTCTGCAGACTTCCCCGCCCCTGCTCAGGCCGCGGAGATGAAGCCGGGCCCGGCTGGAGGATTAGGGTCTTTACAGGAAGGAGCCATTGATGCTGTTGTGCCGTCCACTGTGGCAAAGGATAACTGGATAGAGCGGAACCCGCCATCTGTCATATTACCGCAGCACCGCTCCGATGAGATGTAGTTTGGAGATATTTATCATTATAACCAACAGAGGGAGCCATACTCCTAATGTTTTGGGTAGAAGAGGGAATCTTATACTAAGAAAAAGGGGGAAGGGAACAAAACATTTATCATAAAGACATTGGATCAGTCTGTCCGTCCCTACTCTTCCCCTCTAACAGCCTTGTCTGTGCTACTGTTACTTTTATTGCACTTTGTTCTGATTTTCTACCAATGATTAAAAAGAACTGGAGAGATTCCCATGTTCCAGCAGTGTAAACTACTGAGGAATAAGATTGCAGCAGACTTATGTTGCTGGAGGCCTCTTGCTAAACGCAGAGGCCTCACGTTAGTCTACAAACCAGTGGTGACAACCACATTATGTGAACTTGAAAAAAAATGATATATATGAAATTATAATGAAGCGGCAGAAACTTATTCAAGAGGACCGTTACTTGATTTTTTTCATTATTCAACACCAAATTGAAGGGTGCGACCCTGTGCGTCTGTCTGATCTCTTCCACCAGATCCTAACGTACGCCGCTCGATAATGACCCTGCCATCGTAATTATCAACATCCATTGCTTAGTGTCAGGCAGATCGCTTGATTCTCATGAAGCTTGATCAATACAGTTGATCACCATAGTGCTTAAAGCCATTGCAGGACATTTGGCCATTTAGAAGACTTGTGAAGTTTTAGTGTTTCCCTTGTAACAAGGGTATCATGCACCTTTAGAAATTTGAAATGCTTTTTTTTATATTCATGTACAGTAATGCAAGAAAATGTTGTCTTCAAAGTTTAGAACAAGACACCGAACCATTCGACCTTTTAACCCCAGTCCACCCCTACAATCTCCTGTTTCACATCATCGTACAGCTCTTACTTTTTATGAATCTGAAATACGTACAGACTAAGGGGGTTTGATATATATTTGCTCAGTACTGTGTTGCAGTAAAAATATACTTAAAAATGTAATGACCTGTTTTGTCAGTGAGGCATTTTTGTCTTTCTGTGTATTTATATCTCCGGTTACTGTCAGTGATAAATGGAATCTAAGTGGTATTGAGAGTACTTCTTTTTAGTCAAGATTGAGAATTATAAATGTTGCTCATGTTGAACAAATGCACTGACATTTGACAGTTAAAGAATGGAATGTAAATATGCTTTGACTGTAGCTCTTCTGTACATTTGAACTCATAAACATGTCTGGACATCAATAATAATAATAAACCTTTTATATATCAGAATGACTCTGCGCTTTTCTTGATCGGTGTTAACAGATACTCAGCTTGTGGTTTGGAATTCATTCAAGCCTGCTCTGAAATTATAAATTTCAAAAGGTCAAATGGATGGTTACATCCGTGTAAAACATCTTCAAAAATAATCTGTCTTAATGTAGAAACACATCTTCAGTAGTCCTGCAGTACTGTCCATGGAGTGGGATCCTTCACATGCCAGTCCCTGAAGTTTCTGCATGTTTTTCCTCACCCTAAGGACAGAGGATGTTGCACCTTGTGGGACGTTGAGCCCTATGACACAAACTGTGATTGGTCAATATGTCCTTTGCAAATACAGCTGCTGATGATGGGTACAGTGCCATTTCCACAGGTAAATAAGTGTTTGCAATAAAACCAGAAAACCACAGTTCTGGTCAATGCAGAGAAACTAGTTTGAATTTCACCATCTGTTAGTTATTAACCAACCTGTAATTTTCCCCTCATTCTTTTAGCTAATCTGATGACTGCATTGTTAACTAAGTCCAAAAACTTCCAGACACAAAGGGATTCATGCAATTTAGTTTCTTTAATATGACAATAAACATCCCATTAGATGTCAAGATAATCTACCAGTGGAGCTAATAATGAGGTACTCTGTGTATTGTCTTTGTATTACAGGCTTATTCAAATGAATCTATTCTTAGTTCTTTAAAATTAATCAAAATATTTTTCTGTTTTTTCACTCACAAATTCACTTTGTTCTCCCATTACTCACAAACAGTTCTTGTCTGACCGCAGAAGTAACCTCAGCCGTGGGGAAATAACAGCATGCGGGGACTTGGGTGGTGACTCATGTGTGAGGGTGGAATCATGAGTCACGAGCTTTTCAGACATGTTCTGACTCGCTCACCAGTGGGGGAAAGGTCGCTCCTCAAATCACCAGCAGGTGGCGCTGCTAGTCCAGGTTTCTGATACTGAGGGCTTCTCTGTGAGCAGGGGCAGCTCGTCCCTCGGTGATCAGCATCTAACAGCCTCGTGCAAGGTGGGGTTAAATGTCAGGTCGTCAACACGTGGGCACTTTGCCTTGCACTCAAGCAAATGTCAATGTGGTTCATTATTTGACTCATGAGCAGGAGGCTGCAAACAAAACAACATTTAGCAGAAACTTTATTCCAGTAAGAAAATAGCCCACTTTGTAGATCTGTGTTTGTAGTGCAACTGTCCCACAACTCAATATAAGATTTTATAATCTGTTTTTCAGATCGCAATTAATCATGGATTCCCTACATTGTTAGTATTATTCTACAGAATAGGCACCATTTTCAAGTTAGGACAACACTGGCGTGGGACACAGTCTTTGGCATCTGTCTGATAATGATGAATATAAACTTCTACAGTTCATCAGATAAGATCAAATCTCATGATACGACCACTGGCAGAGGCACGGGGAGGGGGGGGGCATGCACATCTGTCGGGTATCTGCTGTAGGACAGTGAATGGAAGTGGGGTAATGAACACACAAATACACACACAGAGGGAGACACACACATAGACACACACTTCATGAATGATGAAGAGGGCTGGGGGCAGGTGGAGGACATTGAGTATTGTTGTGACACAAAGTGGCTTTTGTTTTCTTTCCTCTTGCTCGAGGAGAAACGACGCGCCTCAAGACAAACTGGCAATTAAAGCTCCCTTTTCAATGGATTAAGTAGCGTGTGCTGGCCACAAGCTGTTTTGTTCATACACACACACACACACACACACACACCTTCGACACACTTCGCCCTCACCAAATCCCAAGTGGCCCAGTTCGGGTCAGGTTGTGCTGGCCAGTAGTTCTGTAACCCTCCCAGGACACTACTTTGGGAAACTGTCTGTCAGAGCTCAGACGTGCAGGTGAGCCACCAGCAAGGCGTTTAACAGGGAGCTGAGACTTCAGGGAAAGTTTAGATGAGCTATAAATATCCCAGCAGTGATTCCCCAAAGCTGCTCGGGGGAAGTCCAGGCCTTCAACGATGGTTCCAGAGTTTACCATGGATTCATTTTCCCTCTGCTGGATATGTTTACAGATCCACAATCTTTGTCCTGTACTCATCTGCATATTCAGTTGTATTATCCCTGTATAGCTGGTGTGAAATGTATTGTTCTGTTATCCCCCTGGTTTTATAACAGTTATATAACCTACAGACAGAGGGCCGGCTTCCTGGCAGCCAGTTCTCTGGTGAGGAGGTAAACAAGGTGGAAAAACCTCAAGCCACAAACTCCACCTGGAATCATGATACAATCAATACCATGAAATAATGAAACAGGAAGTGAAATGATGATCATTTTTATGTACATAATGATTTTACATCACATTATGTATATGTACTACCACTACTTGCCCATCTTCTGTATAACATACATCAAGTCTATCATATCATAATATATTATTCCACACGTATGTCTGTTATTTGGAATGTCAGCCATTCATATACCTTTTTATGTTTACCATACCTGCCTGTACTGTATATGCATATATACAGTCTACATATGGATATGTGTGTTTCTATATCTCTATACACACTCATCCTGTGCCACTGCACTTTACTCAAGTACATTTCTCTACAAACAACATTTCCATAGTAACCAGTGTATGTTGTACATGTTTTCTGTATTTTCATTAATTTAATTTTGCATTATTATCCTATTGCATTTGTATTCTCTTGTCTACCTCATTCTGACTAGAAGCTTTTTTCACGTTAAAGGATGATTTCAGCATCAGTGAGTTCAGGCTGTAATAGTGACGCTATTTACAATGACTGTACAAATACACAGTGTATGAGGACTTTTAGTTTTTGTACATGAGTGGTGATCTTGGATGTTGACAGGGCAGGAACGACTGTGGAGGTGGATGGGTAGGTGGGTGGGTGGCGGAAGGAGGATTGGGGGGTTTCTTTTTCTTGTAATCTCGCCCCACGTGGGGTTGTCAACAAGCCCCCGGTGGATCTGCCCCGCGGGGACTTTTGCTTTTCCTCTAAACCCACCGGCCGCTGCGAGCCAATGGCATCAGACGGGAGCCGGAAGAGCCCGCCCCTTGCCGAGAAACAACGCGGAGCTGCTATAAAAACACCCACAGGCTGATCCGAGCTCAGAATAACACGAGACACACTCGCTACCACACAGCTCTTATTCTATTCTCCGATCCCTTATCGCGCTTGGATTATTCTAACTATGACTCTGGAAGAGATCCGCGGACAAGAGAACGCAATGGAAAACGCAGATAGGTGAGTGTTTTACGCACGCAGAGTGTTTTACGCACGGATTTTCTAATTGAACATGTCCGACTGACGCTGTAAATGTGTGAATGTACAAATGCACTGTGTCCTGATGGTGCGTGTTTTTCTCTGTGAAGGGTGCAAAGTGCAGGCGCAGCGCTGGAGGAGCTGCTCCTCTCCGCCAAGAAGCAGGACTACCTGACAGTGGGAGTCTACGAATCTGCCAAAGTCATGAATGTGTAAGTCCAATTGACACGTTTGACTCAAGTTCCCACTTTTCATATCAACGCCATGAGGATGAAGGGGAGATCTTTTTGTGACCACGTTGCTCCTCTTGTTCCCCTCAGTGATCCAGACAGCGTGGCTTTCTGCGTCCTCGCCACGGATGAGGAATACGAGTGTGACATCGCTCTCCAGATCCACTTCACCCTCATCCAGGCTTTCTGCTTCGACAACGACATCAACGTGGTGCGCGTCAACGACATCGAGCGCCTGGCTGACCTCGTGGGCACAGACGGCACCGGCGAGCCCAAGGACGCGCACTGCATTCTTGTCACGGTATGTTCCCGGCAGTAGCAGCACCCACACACACAGTCAGTCAGGGACCTGGCAGCCAGTGATTCATACACGCATCACTCCTCTGTCTGAGTTTTTGTGCACATGCTCCCAGGCTACTTCATGTCTGCATATCTGAATGTCTGGTGCAAGTTGTCTGACCTCTAAATAGCTCATCCCCTTTCTTTGTTTTTCATTTCAGAGCCCCAGTGCAAACCCATGGAAAGACCCCGCTCTGGACAAGCTGAGCCATTTCTGTGAGGAGAGCCGAAGTGCCTATGACTGGGTGCCCACCATCACCCTCCCAGAGCGCTGAATGGACATCCCACTGACAAATGCTTCACATGATGATGCAGATAAGAAAGTCAAGGAGCTGAGCCTCAGCAGATGGGCGACAAAAGCCTTTCTGCCTCACTTTTTCTGGGGATGAAGAGGCTGTGGTTGCAGACCCTCCCACAACCAGCACCCCTGCCAGAGTGCACCCTTCCAGATCAGTCTGGGTCAGCACGATGATTCTGGATTATACCCTGAGGAAGGGGGTGCGAGTTCGGGGGTCAACCGTGGACCAGGTGTACGTGGAGTGGACCGATAGCTTGATGGACACTGAGAAGAAAATGGATTGTACTGCACTGAGCAGGAAAAGATGATGAGCCGTGACTCAGGTGCTGCCCTGAATCATAGGTGATGGGGAAGTGAGCAGAGAAAGTCACAGAGAAGGAGACTGTAAGAAATGGACTTATGAAAGTTTGGAAACTGCAGTGAATCGCATCAGAGAGGAACGAGGAAGATGCTGGTCCTCAAGATGGTATCTAAAAATGTCAAAAAGGACTCGCACAGCTATCAGGATGTTCTTGGAATAAGCAGAGACTCTGTTTGCAAATCCTGATTTCAGCAGTGTCTGTACCTGTGACACTTTTTATTAAGGGACTATTGTTTTTTCTTTAAATATGCAGATGAAACCGATGCAATATTAAATTGAATTGTACTTCACTTTTCATGTTTTGTGAATAAACACATGGAATCAATATCATCCTCTCTTGTCAGAAGTGTTATTTCTTCTTTTGTTGTAAGCCTCGCAGCAGAGCGAGTCAGCAGGTCTAAAGTTAGCTAAGATGCAGCCGGGCGTGGGAAGTTGCAGCAGCTCACAAAGACGTAGATGTTTCAGGAAGTGTTGCACGATATGGGCTAGGAAAGAGTGAGAGTGGGTGGCAG